AATAAACCGTTAATTATTATTATTATTATTCACGTCTATTCTCCGACTTTCCTCGTGACCCCGCGTCGTCTCCCTCTCCGTACTTCCCCCGCATTCCGTGTCCGTCCTCAACCCTCTTTCCCGTCCCGTGAACAGACCGCGATCGACCGTAGTCTATATCCGCAAATACCTGCAACCCCCCCCCCTTTTACGTATTACTCTCCTAAACCGACATTTACTCGATTCGTCGTCGCCGCCCCTTCCGCGTCCGGCCGTTCAAAGACGTCGTCGATTCGATCGTCTCCCGCGACCGTGCCGCCGATCCTCGACTCGTCCCTTCCGCAGATTTCCCCGCGTGTCCTCTACCGCGCAACTTCTTCCCTCTTCAAAATCCCCAGCGCATCCGTTTCTCACAATTACGCCACCGCGCCGACCGAGCGATAGCGCGCCGATTCCTTACGTGCCCTGCAAAATCTATCGATCCTTGTCCCTCCCACCGTCCTTATCGCCTTTTACTTTTAATATATAACTACTACCTCAATCTATTTCCTTTACTCTCTCTCTTTCTAAATAGTCAGTCCTAAACAACTATCTTCTAATTCTCCCTTCTCATAACTCAACAAAATAGTCATCATTTCTCCATTCTTATCAGTTACCTCAACAACACCATCTTATTCATCTATGTCGGTCCGATCTGCCCCTTCTTTTACTTTCAAAACGCGCGCGTCGTCTCGTATTTGCGCTTCCGTTATTTGAGGACGTATCCCGCCGCCGGTGACGTGCGTGCCGGAATTCCGCATTAAATGACATTCGAAATGCTACGACCTATTTGCTAAATGTCTACAATGATCATCTTCTCAACAAATTATTGCAAACCCCTAGTCATCACAGGCAACATCTTCAATAAATTCATTCTCATTATGTATCGACTTCCAAACTCGGTATGTAAAAACAATACTACAAACATTATAAAAGTCATTACTCTACACAAACAAAACGGGCATCAATTTTACAAATTAACTTCGTCTTTAAAACATTCAAACTGGACTGGCACAAAACATAAGTCGCGATACAATATCGACACGCGTCTTCTTCTGCATCGACGAGTGTATTCTTCCCGTATTCCGCGGTGTCTTCCTCGCACGTCCGGCGATATCTTCGTCCGCAATTGACGAGTGTCTTCGTGGCGCGTCGAGCGGCGTCTTCATCCTCGGTCGACGGTCTTCGTCCGAATCGGCTCAGAAACGCTCTCGGACGCCGACTGTAGAATCTGTCTCCGTTCCCGTCTCTAACTTGCATCGGCTCGCTCGTCCACAACTGAAACAAACAAATTACTATAAATATATATATATAAACAATTATCTACTAATAAGAAATTAAAGATTGCAAACTGTAGGCCTACAATTCGGTTAACGAACAAAAAGTCAGTTGACGAATTTCATACGAACCGACCTCGACGTGTTTACGCTTGCACTGACCGGGCAACCGGCCTTAGTATCAGTCCGCCAATACATTAATCGGTTCTAGGGCTTAAATTCCTTACTATTTTACTAAATATCAAGAAGTTTATACTATTCAATAATTCTAAAAGTTTAATATTCAATTTTTTAGTCATTTTAACAATTATTGAACATAATTGAAGGTAAAGTGACTAGTTTAATGCGCAGCATCCAGCCTCTTACTACAGCAAACAGGCATTAGTGTCTCTCTGTTTTCACTGGAGGTAACATCTTGCTTGAGACTCTCTTCAACTAAACGCTTTTTTTTCTGAGTTTCCAAGCAAATTATTGGTCATTTTGAAATATATTTTACATATTGACAAAATACAGTATAATGCAGTGCAGTGTTGATTTAAATAAATTAATCTTGAATTACACCAAGAGAGCTAAAATTTTATGGGTGAAATGTCGCCATGGGGTGACTTCTCTTCTTCCTTCTCCTCCACCCCCATTCTAAATCCCATCATCATAATCCAGGAGCCTTCTACATATACACCTCAAAGTAAGTGAACTTTTCTACCATTTTTGTTGAATTTAGGAAATTTTCGTTGAGCTGGAACCAATTACCCAAAAACCCATTGAAACAAGGGTTTCGGTTAACAAACGACCTTCTGGAATGGATTGAGTTCGTTAACCAAGGGGTCACTGTGTGTGTGTGTGTGTGTATATATATGTATATATATATATATATATATATATATATATATATATATATATATATATATATATATATATATATATATATATATATATATATATATATATATATATATATATATATATATATTGCTTAGTATTCTCAGAGGATTCAACAGTTTACAATTACACTCATGTGTTATGTCTCTAGGGGTAGACCAACCTGGACAAAAACAATGTCTTACAGGAAAAATGTTGGCTGGCGAGAATCAAGATGTTGCCTCCACAGGAGAATGTGATAGTCTGCCCTCAGGCTATGTCTCTTGGGTAGCTGTGGGCCCATCAGGACAACGTGATTTTCATTACGGTCGCTTAGTCGGCTATATTAGTTGTAAAGAGTGTCCTCACTTCCTTTCTCCCTCTTACTCTCCTCTCTCCCTCTTACTCTTTCTATTCTGCCTGTATCTTCACTTACACATGTTGCTGGCACGCACAATTGTGCGTGGCGGTAACACTCCCCCTTTTGGGTATTTCCTCCAGTACTCTCCCTAGCATCCACTGACTCCTGAGGAGGGGGTGTCCAGAGATGATTACGATATTCCCAGAGCGGAGATTACGGCGAGTTCCGAAGATTTTTTATCTCTGATGTAGTGTCGTGAGATATTCCTTCACCCACCTCTTCCAAAACTGGTCCGCGATGAATTGGGCATTCTTCCATCTTTGCCTGTATGCTTCTGCCATGTACCGATTGTCAGAGCTGTAACGAGCAGAATGGTTGTCCGCAGCTCGTTTGCTGGTTCGCGACCCCTACTAGGGGGGGTTGACGGAGGTGAGAACATTTCTGCTGGCTCGTCACACACAGAGACTACCCAGCCGTCAGTACAGCTGCACTACCCCGCAGTTCGTTCAAATTCTGGTTGTGATCTCATCATAGGTCCTGGACTCGTGGGCTGTTTCTCCATGCCTTCACAAATCGACTGTCAATCTCCGGACACATACCCCTGTAATGATCGTGATGACGGCTAACCTGAGAACCTTAAGGATTCATATTACGCTCAAACGTCCACAAAACCTTCTGAGTCCCCCAGTGGAAACGTCCCCCGTTTTCTCTGTTTCCCCCGTCTTTGTCTTCTGGGAGCGTGGAATATAATCCACGGATTTAGTAGCAGACGCTGTATGTTGGGACCTGTTGCCATCCAACCCTTTGTAATCAATTAAATTTTGCTTTTGATAGCTGAGTCAGAGCATTGTAAGTGAAGATAATAGTAGAGAATGAAAATGAGTTCATAGTCTCAATTTCAACGTCAGAGTGTACAGTGAATTAATTCATCGGAATAGAAGTAGGTGGACTCCCTGGTCTGTTTTGAGTGAGGGCCCCGCGGGCATTTCTACCGTTAGTGAGTGCCCGTCCCTTCATCCATACAGGTATGCCATTCCACTCTGTGTTGTAATTCGCCCTTCTTTAAGTGATTTGACCCAATTAATAGTTGATTGTGCAAGTGTTACAGTAACGTAGTTGATATGCTCTGAGTGAAGTCATATTTACGTATTAACGTCCCCTGAAACGTGATGTTGTTGTCACTGTTAGTGAGTGCCCGTCCCTTCATCCATACAGGTCCCCTGACGCTGCCCCGTTTGTCTCCCGGTCCCATTGTGATTCTTGAATCGCTCTACCATCCAACAACGGCCTCGGATGTATTAGATGTCCAGCCGGGATCATATATGAGAAGATGGCACCGATGCGGCCTGATTAATGTGCCCCACGGCTTCGTTGGGCCAGACCCCAGACCCGCCATGTGTCTGGTTACCCCACAATAACAACAGCCCCAATGCTCTACCCTGGGTTACTCCTTGGAAGTATATGTCCACAGAGAGTGTTGTAACATGTAGGTTAGGGATAATTAGTTGGAAATAATTATCCCATGTTGGGTAGTGGACCCCTGCATATACTAGTGTCATTGTTTACGTATATGTTGAATAATCTACCATGAAATGCCATGTAATGTACCACCAGTAATGTTGTGAGTAAGAGTAAAGAAGAAGGTACTGAGTTTGCACTAAGCCCAGGAGGTGAACCTGGTAATCATATGATTAATACAAAATCTTTTCCCATTGATTGCATATTAATAAACTTGTTTTTAGAGTAATTAAGGTGTATTCATTTCTCCCACAGTATTTTACCTTTATTTCCATCCAAGTGACCTGATACCAAAATTACCATACTCACGTGCCTAGACCCTCGACCATGCTACCAAAAGAATGCCCAGGCTACCAAAAGAATGTCCATGCTACCAAAGAATAGGTGACGGAACTGAGTAGGAGTAAGAATTAAGAGAAGTAAGTAAGATGAGGGTGGTGTAGAAAAGGAGAGGGAACCGGCCCCTCACATTGGTGGCAGCCCAAGAATCCGTCCCCTCACAACTGTACAGTTGCATGTCACACGAGGATGACTCCCTCTCTCGCTACCCGCCGTCTATAGCCGTTGCTGATATAGTGACCGGGTGTACCTGTACCAACTCATGCTGATGCACTGGGGATCACATCAATGTATTTCATCTAGCGTTTCAAATTTTACCGCTAACAAATCTATCGATACTTTTTGGAGACTACATAATTTGGGGGGGAACTTTTTTCATTGTAGAAAAGTATCTTGGCTTTTATAATGTGAGTCAATAGGAATATTGATTCGATTTACTATAGGTTTTTATAAAACACAGTACAGGTACTCTTATAAACTGGGGAATGCCTGTAGAACTTTCTTAACATTCAAAGTACCACAACAATATGAAATACAATACCACAGACTACTTCAGGTCCACTTCACTGCAGGTCCAGTTCACTTTATCTCCAGCCAACTTCATTCTAGTTCACATCAGGTCCAAAAGTTCAGGTCCACTTTCGGCAGTGATGGAGAAAGTACCTGAAAATATTACTTAAGATAAAGTACTGCACTGTTGATATGCAAACATTTAAACTAAGTACTGTAGTCTTCTTCAAAACTATGCAAATAAAAGTTTCATTAACTGAATTGAAACATACAAGCAGAAAAATGTACAGCACAGTACAGTTCAGTACTGTACATAGGAAGTGGAGGTGCAGTTATTCACAAAACATTTGTGTTTGTTGTCGGCAGTAGTGACGGTGGAGGTGGAGGAGGCGGAGGAGGGAGCGAGTTGGGAGGAGTGGTGACCTTGGATGCAGGAGCAGGGACGAGATGCCAGCCAGTACATTACGGGTGTATTAATTGTTTTTATAGCTATTTTTGCATTTTAATATTAAATACTGTACATTACGTTTCAACAAAACTACCATTTATTTCTGAGAACATGGAAATGTAATATTTTTGCTGAAATGATGTACGTATTACAGTGTTAAGTGACGAAAGCAATGACTGCTTTCTTTCGTTCAAAAGATGTTACCGTAATCGCTTTTCGAGTGGTTTTCAGTTGTGGGATTATAAGGCTAATGATAGGATAGAATATTATTGTAATACTGTATGAGTACAGTACAACAGTTTTTTAACTGAAAACCATTCGAAAAGCGATTACGGTAATATCTTTTGAGCAACGAAAGAAAGCGAAAGTCATTGTTTTCATAATTTTATCCCAATTTCCACTGTACAGTAATATGTACGTCATTTCAGCCAAAATATTACATTTCCATATTTATTTCTGAGAATATATTAATTCAGTCACAGTTAAGGTAAAATATACTTGTGATGTAATATTTTAATGAAAATACGGTATCGTAGTTTTCTTTTGTATCAAATTTAATTAACAAAGATTGATGTTTCAAATGTAATGAACAAAAATTTATGTACAGTATCTATAAATAAACTTTAACAAATGAATACTTTGTTTAACATCGTCCTGTGTATACCATACCATGGATTTGGCTACTTTGGGCTAGCTATGATGACGCAAGAGACTGCCCTGGCGGCTGTACCGACACTCACAGCGGGTGGTGCGTTGGTGCGTCGTTTCCATAGTTTACTGGTAGTTACTGGTAAATATTTTTCAACCTAACGAAACTATTACCCTTTTAGAGGTCGACCCCCAATTTTTTGCAAAATAATTTGGTCTTAAAAACTCGAACTACACACAGGTATATATGGTAAATAAGGACATGGGGGGGCCAGGGGTTTTTTAGGGGGGCAGCAAAGTACACGGATTTTTAACATTCACGGGTATCTTGCCTAACCCTCATGTATGTTATATGGGCCGACTGTGTGTGTGTGTGTATATGTATGTATAAATAAAAAAAATAATAATAAAATAAATAAATAAATAAATAAAAAATAAAATAATTAATAAAATAAATAAATATTAGTGATGACCGCGGTAACATTATGAGATGTTCTTATTACTACTATGCTATTGTACTATTCCAGATGATACTAAATGTTACATAATACTTCCTTGAGATAAATGTATAGTATATATCAGGTGCCTCAAAGACAGCTCAGGTTCTCAACTGGCTCAGCCATGTTAATATTGTTATTTCTATCCACTCTGTATCTGCATTTTTCTGGCTAAATAAGATGTTTCAATTCAATGACGTCAACAACTACATCGTGCATCTCGGTACGAATGAAACCGTTACAACGACACAATGGTGAAACGTCTGCTCCGAGGTCCGTCTCGGTCTCGCTTGTGACGTTCCAAAACTCTTCCGTTTCACGAATATTTTGATATTATTGTAATCCTCGGTTGGGGCCTTGCTTCTACCCAGCACGATACATACATTAATATAGCTTAATGGATTTCTTGTTATAGAAAAGCATATACCGTACAGTTGTATGTCACACAACGGATGACTCCCTCTCTTGCTACCCGCCGTCTATAGCCGTTGCTGATACAGTGACCGGGTGTACCTGTACCAACTCGTGCTGATGCACTGGGGATCACATCAATGTATTTAATCTAGCGTTTCAAATTTTACCGCTAAAAAATCTATCGATACTTTTTGGAGACTACATAATTTGGGGGCGGAACTTTTTTCATTGTAGAAAAGTATCTTGACTTTTATACTGTGAGAATATCGGAATATTGATTCGATTTACTATAGGTTTTTATAAAACACAGTACAGGTACTCTTATAAACTGGGGAATGCCTGTAGAACTTTCCTAACATTCAAAGTACCACAACAATATGAAATACAATACCACAGACTACTTCAGGTCCACTTCACTGCAGGTCCAGTTCACTTTATCTCCAGCCAACTTCATTCTAGTTCACATCAGGTCCACTTTAGGCAGTGATGGAGAAAGTACCTGAAAATATTACTTAAGATAAAGTACTGCACTGTTGATATGCAAACATTTAAACTATGTACTAAGTACTGTAGTCTTCTTCAAAACTATGCAAATAAAAGTTTCATTAACTGAATTGAAACATACAAGCAGAAAAAGGTATAAAAAGTAGTACAGCATTTGTAAAGAATCATAATTAAAAAACAATGGCATTATGTTTTCAAAACGAAGCTTAAAGTTATTAATATATTATACAGTATTGTACTTTAAAGAAAAACTAAATAAACACACATTCAAAATTTGGTATGGGATGGAAAACGTGAATCTGGGCCACAGTTTTGATAGGTCCCGTACCACCGACACCAATGGGAAGTGACTTTAGACACAAACATTTACATAAATGTCCACTTTTATAGGATTACTGTACAAGTGCACTTAAATACAAGTCCTCTAATACGCTCGGCTCGTACGCCCGACGACACGACGCTAAGTAACGACGTCGGTCTTACCTCCCGCGGGTCAGCGGCGTCGTTTCTCCGTTTGCCGTTAACGGCGTCGTATGCGAGACCGGACGGGTCTGTACGGTCGAGTCTCAACTTGTCATACCGAGATGTGTTGTTGGTCCTTGAAGCTTCCTGGAAATGTGACCAATAGCTATATAATACACAACACTGTAAAACTATTAAATTATAGGCAGGGATTATCTGACCGGTACTCGGCACAATAACCGCCGGTTATTTGACAGAGATCTAAAATAAAACTAAATCCTTTTGTCAACAGAAATTATACAATTAAATAATACCATAATGTAATGACTTGTTTAATGCCCCCAACCATCCCGACTACAATCCTATACGATCCCCGCAGGTCCCGGTCAAATGGCCGACGGTTTTTTGGCCCAGAATCGTGGTCAAATCACAACTTCGTATTAAAAATAAACGTTGCTTATTAGTTTAACACCACATTGACAAACCGATTACTCAAATAGGTTACGTTAGGTTGAAATTATCTTTTCCCAACGGTTTTTATGGATATTTTGAACGATTATGACTTTCGGAAAATAGGTGCACGGCCAAAACGATAATTTTACCAGTTTTTATTTGGATTTTTTCTAATAAATAAATATGATCTTCATTTCCTTACACTAACAAAAACAATGAATCTTCCAAAGTGAATTAGACTTTCAACATGAAGGGTTAAATATCAACATTGAAAACCCTACCTAACCTAATCTAAACTACCTAACTTCTTGCAATGGACGAGCAAAAATTTAATCGGCATACCGGGTTTCTTACAGTCCAATAGTGTTTACATTTCGTGGACGTGACCGACGTAGAACGAAACTGCGACGACGTCGACGGATTCTTATCCTGCTGCCGGGAGAAAGGCACAATTTTGCAGGATTTATTATTTAAATCTCTCTGCTGTGACCAATCAGAGGACAGTGCAAATCTATTGTGATATTTACGCAGGAGCAAAAACTTTTTTTCTAGATATATTCAAGCCTCCCTCGTGACCTAAATGTTGAAGACGAGAACCGACTCGCCGACAAAACATTAAAACACAAAAACAAAACATTAAAGAAATAACTTTTTGTTATCATTAGTTAAATACAGCTACTCCTCGACTTACGACCGCCTCGGTCGTACCAAAATATTGTCAAATTACCTATTTTCGAGTCCCGACGTTACAGATTGCGCTGTGTACCGACAAAATTTTTGTTTGTAATTCCCTTTAAAATGGCTGGCAAGCGTAAGAGTGAGAGTTCTCGTGGTGCCGAGAAGAGAGAGAGACACCCGTTTTAGATTTTCTATGTACGGTATTATTTTCGACTTGCGACCCGGTCGCCGGTCCCTGGCCCCGTCGTAAGTCGGGGACCGACTATACCGTAATGTGCTGGGTATATACGGGATAGCTCTACTGTACATCGTTATCTACAAGAGTTAAGTTGGACTCGCGAACGAGCCTCGGGTACTCGACTCGTCTGTCTGTCGAGAAGCTCCTGTATTGGCTTATAATCGACGTGTACGGTCACCCCAAAATAATATCTTTAGCCACGGGGTCGACGTGATTCGAGGCTATTCGACCGACGTTACACGACCCGTTTCAGAACTGTTGCTAACTCTACGTCTACACCTTTGAGCACGAATGAGTATACATATGTTTTTGAGAGATGCGAATCCTCCGAGGCTTCCGATCGCACGTTACGCGAATTGAGATTGCGTGTCGTGAATG